TTAAATAAAGGCTAAATGCCATTATTATTAAATAATAGTCTTGATAATTGCTTTAAGTAAAAATGATTTTAATGTTGAGCATGATTCTACTAAATTTGAATAATGTGATTACTTAATGATTTAATATTATAACTTTTACTTTTATAAAGAAAAATATTATTATATTGCCAAACAAAATTTTATATTTTAAGCTCACCATTAAAAATAATACAACAGTAGTAAAATACAAATGAAGAACTTCAGATGTTTAAAAACAAAACCAAAAAGAATTTGAAGCTAATACAGTGACATATTAAATATAGTGATAAAGAGGGCTATCTAGGGTTCAAATAGTGATCTCACCATGTCTACGGCAAAGATAGTGAAGAATATCAAAGACTCTGAAATGAGAAGTAGATAGTGCCCAGTTAACTACTCCCAATCATTCTGAAAAGGATCACAATGTTGTTGTTAAGTGCTGTCGTGTCGGTTCCAACCCCAGCAACCCTGAACAGGGTTTTTGAGGCTGTAAATCTTTATGGTAGCAGAAAGCCTCATCTTTCTCCCGTGAGCAGCAGGTAGTTTTGAACTGCTGACTTTGGGGTTCACAGCCCGATTCGTAACCACTATGCTACCAGCTCCTTAGGATCACAATAGAAGGCCCTGAATAGAGTGGGAGAAAAATGAGGAGCAAAACTCTAAATCATGAAAAGGCCTGGCTTACAGATCTGAAAAACGTTGGTGGAACCCCAAAACCATGGCCCTTAGACACCCTTCAAGCCTGCAATCAAGTTTCCTCCCATGAGTCAACTTTCACCCAAACAGTCAGGAATATAAGGTGAACAATAACACTAAGGAAGTATGCACTCAACTATTTAAGATCAACCATACAAGATCAACGAGCCATATATGATCAAAAGGACAGGATTTGTCCAGGAATAAACCTCAAAAATGAGGAAAGGATAGCAAGGAAGGATGAATTGTTAACAGAGGGAGGAAGTGGGAAGAATGTTGTTACATTGTAAAGACTGCAGTCAATATCACAAATCAAAATGTTGGTGAGTTGTTGATTGGGAAACCAATTTGCTCTGTAAACTTTCACCAAAATCACAAAAAGTTAAAAAATGAAATCAGTCCTTGATATGAACAATTTACTCAATAAAGTCATGGAGTATTTGGGACTTAAGAAACATATTATTGTTTTTGTTGTTGTTGTTAAGTGCCATCAAGTCGATTCTGACCCATAGCGGCCCTGTATAGGGTTTACAAGGAGCCAGTGGTGAGCTTGAACCACTGACCTGGTGATTCAAAGGACTTTGCAGTCTGGCTCATTACTGTCTCTCATATATTACTTTGAAATCTTTCTTATGTATATATGTTAAGTCATGACCTTCTGAATGATATTGTTATTGTTAAGTGCCTTCTAGTTGGTTCTGACTTATAGCAACTGGACCCTGTGTAGGGTTTCCAAGGAGTAGCTGGTGGCTTTGAACTACTCATCTTGTGATTCAAACCAACATTGTAGTCCAATGCTTATCCTACAGCGCCATACTAGGACTCTAATTCTGAATAAATTAGATCTTAAAAATTGACTTTTAAAAATAATTGGATAAAAATCATACTAAATGGGAGTAGTTTTGTTTTTTCTAACTATAGTCAATGTGGATTATATGAGAGTTAAAACTTTGAAATATATTGTTGCTGTTGTTGTTGTTGTTATGTGCCATCGAGTCAGTTCTGACTCACAGCAACCCTGTATAAAGTTTCTAAGTAGTGATTGGTGAGCTTGAACTGCCAACCTTGCAGTTCAAACTGACTTTGCAATCCAGTGCATTAACCCACAGGACTCCATATATTGATGTAGGGGGTGCAAATAATTTGAAAAATAAATTTAATAAGAAACCTAGAATAGTAACTAACAGTCATTAACAAAACAACAAAGCTATCTGTATTTGCATTTTATAACACATTTAAGGTAAATACAAAGCCAAATACTATAATAAAAT